AAGTTGCAGGAAGTTCTATGCAGCACTTCTAAGGAAGTCACATGCACTTTTCGAGCGCTGGACACTGTGTGTTTGAGTCTGTAGAGGATGCAGGATGTCAAGTCAAATGGTGTTTTCATGGACTCCAGGCGGCATTGGCTGTCAGAGATGGTRTCCAGGGGGTTAAAAAATGGGTTGACAGTCATTGATGCTGTCTGGGGAAGAACGCAAAATCCCCAGAGATCAGACGGATTGAGAATGGAGTGGGAAGAGGAAAGCATTAGGAACTTGGGGCCCTCCATTCTCCTAAAGATACGGGCGTCTTCCGGCATCTCTTATGTAGTCGTGCGAGTGGTGCACTACAGGCGGGCAACCTGGAGGAGGAGGTCGGATAGCCCAACGGGAGCCTGGGCCGCGGGGGCGGGAAGGAGGGAGGACTGGGCGGGGAACTCCGGTGACTCACGTCGGCCCTGTCCGCAGGTCGACCATGGTGGCCGGGACCCGCTGTCTTCTAGCGTTGCTGCTTCCCCAGGTCCTCCTGGGCGGCGCGGCCGGCCTCATTCCCGAGCTGGGCCGCAAGAAGTTCGCGGCATCATCCGGCCGCCCCTCGTCCCAGCCCTCGGACGACGTCCTGAGTGAATTTGAGTTGCGACTGCTCAGCATGTTCGGCCTGAAGCAGAGACCCACCCCGAGCAGGGACGCCGTGGTCCCACCCTACATGCTGGACCTGTACCGCCGGCACTCGGGCCAGCCAGGAGCTCCTGCCCCGGACCACAGGCTGGAGAGGGCTGCCAGTCGCGCCAATACCGTGCGCAGCTTCCACCACGAAGGTGAGGCGGGGATCAAGCTTTGAGGGAGGTGGGGGCGGGACAGGGGCGGGGAATCTCCTTGCGGAGCCCCCACCTGGGTAGGTGCGTGCATCCCTGCGAAAGGCAGCTGCTCAGACCGTTCCACTTTTACCTCTGGATGGTCCTTTCAGAATCTCATCTTAACAGGCTGCTTGTGTGGCGGCAAAGGGAACCAGGGATTCCCCTCTGGCGCATCCGCACCCTTTTCCTGGCCTGCAGCCAGAAGAGTAACTCCTCCCCCAGGAACTGGAGGGAGACCAAATGATGGGGAAGATGAGGGGGAAAGGCATGCCCCTAGTCAGAGAAGCGTGCAGGAATTCCACAGGGGGAGAATGAGAAGGTTTGGGATTTCTTTAAATCTGTTTGGAAGCCCTTCCTCTATAAATCTGTGTCTTCTGCTTAAGCTGGGGTTTCAGACTAAAATAGAGCCAAGGGCAAAATTTTCAGAGATAGTATTGAAAAATTAAAGCCCAGAGCTCCAAAGTCTTTCTAATTTACTGTTGATCTGGGCCTGGTTTGGAAGATTTCGAATCCTTATCTAATCCCCGTGGGAGATCAGTTCCACAATCAATCTTATTATTTCCACAATGAGTTTCTTGTCTTGTGCTTAAATCTTAGATAGGCTCAGGGTAGAGACAAGGCAAGCCTTCAGATAAAAGCTTTTGCAACAGCTGCCTGATTCCTTCATGTGCATTGAAATGTGATTTTTTAAAAAAAATTTTATGGTACTGAACGTGGTTTTCTAAGGTAGGATATTTCTGTTTGTTTCATCAGAAAGGCATTTAGTGAATTTGAAGTGTCTTAGAGCAGCTACTTAGATCTGTTGTACCTAAGTTTTTAAAGCAATTAGTCACAAGCATGTTACATGTCAGTTGTTTCCTACAGTTTTAAATGTCCCTTTGGCTTAATGCATTCTAAATACAGCAGGAAGTGCCAAGTTGTATGTCAGAGCACTGTTTGTAGAATATTAGGGAAACTGGGGGAATAAATCTCTCTTTTTCTTGCTTTTCACCACTGAGGTGGTAGATTTCAAATGACAACCTGAGCTCTGACATAAGCAAATTAGAAATGGCACAGCCCAAGGTTCTGACCAAGTGTGAAGGATGACTTGGGAGAACACTGGTTGATAATGGGAAGAAGTACCACAGGTGGGTCATGTGACAAAAGATAACTTCCTCAAGGCAGCGGATGCTAAATTGATCCTTATTGTGATCAACAATGAAGTATGTGCTGAATTGATCATTAATTTTCAAATGCATTCCTAAGGTGAGCTCCTGCTAGTAGAAATTAGAGATTTGAAAAGCAATAGGCCTCATTCTATTCCATCAGAACCAGCCCACTGAAAGCATCAATTGTCTGTACTCATAGGGAGAGACATTTTCAAATTGTGTACATTCCAGCATCATAACCCTGAGATGATTTTAAAGTCAGCTCATTGTTCCCAGCTGATCTTGATTGAAATAGGTTTTTTTTTTTTTTCTGGATAGAAAAGTAACAAACTCAGCTGTGTTAGCCACCTCTTCTGGAATTTAGCATGGAAACCATTCCTTACTTTATTTATGATGACAGGAAGGTACTGTCTCTCTTGTAACTTAAAAGGAAGATCACTTAAGTCAGTTACTGTCTAACACATTCAACTGAATGAAAATTTCATCAGTAAGGTCTCCATATTTCTCATTCTTCATCTGGAAGTGGCTTGATCAAAACTTAAAACAGGCTATACATTATTTGAGTGTCATTGTAACTTAAATAGCATGCTTGAGTCAAATTTGTATTGGTCAAAGCGTGATGTTATAGATAAAACAGTACCCAAGTTACCAACTTGTTTAAATCAATTTGCAATATTTTCACATCTTAATGCAATTAAATGACAGAGAAAAGTGTGTGATTTTTTTCCTTAAATTTCAAAAAATTCAATTCTTTTCTCATTGTGACTAGTATATCATCATTAAGCTGGATATAAAACTTTTTGAAGACTATTCACTGTTGTATAATGTGAGATTTTATTTTTATAAGCATCCTTGTGCCACACATTGCCTCTGAAAAACTTTGAATAAACCATGTGAATAAGGCTAGCTCAAGAGTAGAATATAGTTTGTACAGCATTATTAGACATATATTTGGTAAAGAAGCAAAATAACCCTATTAAATAAGGTATCAGATAGTTAAGTGAAATTATGAGATAACAGATGCCAAGATATAATCATTCAATCAGTGTGTAAATGATCACCAGAATAGTGATCTGAGATAAAATCATCAGTTGTCATTTCTCTTGTTGAACATTGTCTAACTCGTTTCTACAATGACTTTTATTTAGGAGAGTACAAACTTTGCTAAAATTCTCTTTTCAAAGTCATTGAAAAGTCCATCAGCCATGTGGGCTTTGCAGGATTGCCATTGAATACAGAAAGATCACATCTTCAAATAGAGTTTTTCACATGTTGCTACTGTTGGAAACACATTAAACTGGATTGATTTCATTGGCCCTGCAAAAAGTCTTCATGCTTTCTTGACGTATCAAAATGTAGGAGAACCACTTGCTTGCTCTCCTAGACTCTGAAGGGTACCATCTTCCTATTTTCCATCTATGACTAATGCTTTCAAGTAGAGATGAATCCTTTTCCCTCAAAAATAATTACCATGAAAATATCCATAAAATGTGAAAGGTCAAGAAAGAATCATTGCCCTGTGAAGGAGAATGAATGCCACAAATTCCCTGTGTGAATTTGAACTTATAGGTACCTCCCCCAAACCAACACTTAGCTGGTGTTCTTCCCGAGTGCCCCCAGGTATTACAGTGTGATTACAAAAGGCCCCRTTAATAGAACCGTTATTGAGACCGAGGCTTTGGTCACCCATGATGGCTCCTTGGCACTCAAATTTTCTGTCCCTATATTCCCTCTTGATTCTTTTTCATTGAATTGCTTTGTCCTTTTTAGACTTGTTATTCGGGTATTTCTCTAAGAAGTTAGTAACAGGGCTCTGCATCATTCTAAAGGCAGAAGCCAAAACAAGGTGAGGCTTTTCTTCCTTTAGTTCCCATTTTCTTATTGTCTTAAACACAAACACCCACACACAAAACACTTATTCTTGCCAGGTGCAATGGCACACACTTGTAATCTCAGCAACTAGGGAGGCTGAGGTAGGAGGGTCCTAAGTTCGAGGCCAGCCTGTCTCAAAAAAAAAAAAAAATAGAAAGGGCTAGGGATGTGTCTCAGTGATAAAGTGCCCTGGATTCAATGAAAAACAATGAACAAAAACCTTATTCTTTATAACCTTTCATATGTTACCATGTTTTTCCTCTTAACCTATATATTGATTATTTTATCTTCTAGAAAATATTGTGTATTATACACAGCCTCTTCCATGATGTTATAGAGTGATTTCCAAGCTTACCAGTTTTCCAGACTACCTCTAGATTTTGTTGTTTTAATGAATATCTTTTTGTTGTCTTTTGTATTTTTATATTCAAAGAGTGTTGCAAAATTCTCAAAACATAATGATAAAAAAAAAAAAAACTCACCATACTTTAGGGCAAAAAAACAGCCACAAAATAGCAGTGGTTCCAAATAAGTTCTACATATCCCAGGCCAGGGGTCTGGAGGATGCTGCTAACTTTTACCTTCCCTGATGAAAAAGTGCCTAACTTTACTTTCCTCCTCAGTTTCATCTGCTTTCTCCATTATACCTGGGTAGTATATTCCTATCCTTTAGTTAGGACAAAGCTCACACTACAGTTATCATTGTTGTTTTCTTTCTTTTTATGGTGCTGGGGATGGAACCCAGGGCCTCCCTCATGCTAAGCAAGTGCTCCACCACTGAGAGACCTCCCAGGGCCTTTACAGTTTTTGTTGTTTTAACTAAAGATGTGCCTCTGAATGGTTTTGACTCTTTCTTGAGGTTTAGGTTCCTTCCCATGTCAGGTACTGTCATCTAGTGGCTGGAAACTTAGGCACTGCAGGAGACTCAAGTTCATAGCTCAGTGATATTAGGAAAGTTACATAACCTCTCTGAACTCCCATCTATTTCATATGAAAAATGGATGGTTCTTCTAGTCAGTTTGTTGGGGGATAATGTTTTTAGATAAAGCTGTGAGTATCAGACCTGGCACCAAAAAAGCATTCAGCACATTAGCTAACATGATCATGATGAATTTAAAAAAAAAAAAAATCTTTGTTTATTTATTTTTATGTGGTGTTGGGGATCAAACCCAGGACCTCACACCTGCAAGGCAAGCACTCTACCACTGAGCTACAGCCCCAGGCCTGTGATGACTTTTTAAAATGTCTCATTATCCTTTTATCTAAGGAAGAAAAGGCCAGAGTGGACCTACCCCAATCTTTTGGATTATTTGGAAATAGAGGAATAATTGTGAATGATTGACAGCATGTAGATGATTAAATTAGGACTTTTGGAGGAGAGGTTGAATATCATCATTATGGTGCTTTTTAAAAATTCCCCCACATTTTTAGTCTTAACTCCACTTAGAGGTGGACTGTGGTATAGCTCAGTGGTGGAGCACTTGCCTTGCATGTACAAGGCCCTGAGTTCCATCTCCAGCACCCCCCCCCCACACACACACACACACAAGGAAACAAAGAACTTAGAGACTCATAAACTCAGGTCGAAGTTAGGTCAGAGCCTCAAATCTTTAAGCAAGTTCAGCTGATTCAAGAAGGGATATTTAAAGGGAATTAACAACTGTTTAAGCCTCCAAAAAAGTATACATTACCCACTCTTTATTTTCTGAATCTCCAGGCTTCCTGTGATAATTTATGGAAAGTTTCTTTTTCTTTTACTTTATTTCAAATAGGTTTTGAATTTCCCATCCTCAAGAAAAGATTGAACCTTCTCCCTTAGAGGAGGAAAAGGTGGTATGTGCACTAACCTTGAGGAATGACTTCCCAGGGCTGGGGAGCTCCTCTCTGATTTATGTCTGTGACCTGAATCTTCAGTTTGAACAGAGACCTCTGCATTAATGGGAGATAGAGGGCATTCAAGGATTAGATAGATGAGGTACAGTTGGAAAGTTGGAGAAAGATCTTTATATTACCTGTTATTACTTATAGTGCAGTTTTTTTTTTCCCTTTGCCAAAGCCAGGAGACATTTCTGCTTTGTTAAGACTTCTTGCCTCCAATGATTTTAAATGGTGAGAAATTGTTGAATCAATATTACTATAATTCAATCTTTAGTTTTTGAGGGTTATTGTTGTAGCATATGCCTCTTATAAAAACCTATCTTCCTTATATCATTAACCTATTTCATACTTACCTTGGAGATTGTTTCTTCATCCTCTGGCCATGAGTGTATGTGCATACACATGTTGTGTGTGTGTGTGTGTGTGTGTGTGTGTGTATGTGTGAGAGAGAGAGAGAGATTGTCAGTTCTTTCCTTTTTATTTAAGGATTGGGATTCAGGGTTTTTGTTTCTCTTGTGATTTCTCTGGGCACTTAAATTAATAGTTATTCATGGAATTCCCTGGATATTTTGCCTTTCCTTCCCTTTCCTTGAAGAACAAAGAATGTACCTTGGGGTCTGGAGGATGCTGCTAANAATAGTTATTCATGGAATTCCCTGGATATTTTGCCTTTCCTTCCCTTTCCTTGAAGAACAAAGAATGTACCTTGGGGTCTGGAGGATGCTGCTAATTTTTACCTTCCCTGATGAAAAACTGCCTTGAGCAAGAACACAGGATGGCTTCTGGAATGAAATGGAGCTTCTCTTTTAAAAATAGAAGCTAAATACAATTCTTTATACTTGCTAGGGACCACTGAAAGAGCCCTAGTTCTGTTGGTAGGAAGGTTTTGTTAATTTTTATGGCCGACCTGAAGTACCGTTAGCTTACAGTGGGGCTCAGAAAGTGGGATGGATCCTGAAATGTGTTCCCAAGAGCTTTGGACTAACAAGTACTCACTTCTTGGCCTGGTGGTTTCCAGGTCCTTGTAGAAGAACTTTAGAAGACCTTTCTGTTTGAGTCCCTGGCTGGCCTACCCTTAACTTCAACTCTTATTTCTTGGCTCTTGCTAATGGTTGTTCTGCATACTCATACTAATCAAAAGCTACTTTTCAAACACATCCCTCTGGTGATCTACACTTGAATGTCAAAAACATCCTTTAAAACCTTGACACTCAAAGTGTGATTCATAAGTTTACAGGATCTTCTCAACTAGTAGCTTGTTGGAAATGCAGGATCTCAGTCCATTTTTCAAATCTACTGAATTTGGAAATTTGAGGGATCTTACTGGTTACCTGAGAGGGTAAAAGTTTCAGTAGCACCATATTAAAGCATTACTCTAGAACTTGGTGTAAATTATCCCTGTTGAACTCAGCTTCTGCTCAGCTTGCAAAACTTACATGGTGAAGGTTAGTGGGGTAGAATCTTTGAGAGATCTGACATGCTTCTTCTATGTTAAGGTATCTTGATTGTGTTTGCAACTTGCAACTCTTTGATTTTTAAGCAAATACAATTATAGAATTGATAGAAGTTTTACTTTCTTTTACAACAATGACATGGATCTATGGGAAAATAGATTCTGTTAGCTCTTTAAATCCTAAATGAAGCAGGTAATTTTTTTGACAGTGAAAGAGTGTGTTAAAAGTAGAAGATAAGCTCAAATATCACTTATTCTAATGCTTTAGCTATCAACTTAATAGTAATATTGTGCTTTTGATGATCTATAAACTATAAGCATTCAAGGTGCTATATTATATTTTACATTTTGCTTGGAAGACAGTATTTCTTATATTTGACATTCAGGAATCAAAACCAGACAGATCTTTATGTGTGGCCTATTTAGATGGTTCTTGTGGAATAATGATGATAGATATAGAAAGTTGATTCTGTAATAGGATGAGATCCTTTCTTATACAGTGAACCTCAAAATGGTATTTTTCATAAATTTTTATAAATTAATTTGGTTTTGCTTCTGTCCTTCAACCTGTTTATTAGATTATATACATATATATGTCTATATTTATACACACACACATATATATTTAAACAAAAAGGAAATATAAACAAGAGAAAAAGTTTTTTTTTTCTTTTACCCCCAAAAGCATGTGAAATGAGATTTTGCTTCTTGAGTTCATAAGGAGGTGAGAGAAAAAACAGTCAGGAAGCTATTTCTCTTAAAATTGTTTGGCCTTAATTACTACAGTGTCCTAGTACCACCCATATGTTTCCAAAGAAGTAGATCCCTGTAAATGCCTTTGTCTCTGGACTTTTGAGTAAAATGGTAGGGTGTGCTTTGCAAAATGTCATCGTTGATGTTGAGTTTCAGAGTCTTTAATTAGGAAGCTGAAATCTGTATATTGAGATTTGTAAATCATCTAAATTGCAGAGTAATGTTTTAGGATACCGCTTAAGGGATTGACATTAAAGCCTTTTTTTTTTTTTTTTAAGGAACTGCAATAATTTCCTCAACTCCTCACTCATTAGACCCCTACTAACTACAGTGCTGATTTTTTTTTCTGCCCCTAAAGTCTGGAATTTCAAAGAAATGCATCACCATTTCCCTATTATTTTAGCCACCTGGAAGTCATGTTCATGTATTGAATCAAAAAATAACAATTAATTATGAAATTTTATTTCATGGAATAAGTGTTGATGTGACCCTATAGAAAGGGGAAGAGAAAGGAATAATTCTTTTTTTTTTTATTTTAAAGGTGACTTTTTTCTTTTTTTTTTTTTTTGTTTTAGCAGTCTGGGGATTGAACCCAGGACTTCACATATGCTAGGCAAGCCCTCTGCCACTGAGCTTCATCCCTAGTCATGAAAGTTTTACTTTCTGGTTGCAAACTTTTACATGGGCTAAATAAAACCCTGCAAGGTTTAAAACTTCTGATAGCTAAACGATCATTACTCCTCTTATTGAATATTTTGTCTTCTTCCCCCCTCCCACCTTTATCAAATTAGAATCTTTGGAAGAACTGCCAGAAATGAACGGGAAAACAATCCGGCGATTCTTCTTTAATATAAGCTCTATTCCCACTGAGGAGTTTATCACATCAGCAGAACTTCAGGTTTTTCGGGAACAGATACAGGAAGCTTTGAGAAGCAATAGCAGTTTCCATCACCGAATTAATATTTATGAAATTATAAAACCTGCAACTGTCAACTCAAAATTCCCCGTAACCAGACTTTTGGACACCAGACTGGTGAATCAGAACGCCAGCAGGTGGGAGAGTTTCGATGTCACTCCCGCTGTGATGCGTTGGACTGCGCAGGGACACGCCAACCATGGATTTGTGGTGGAGGTGACCCACTTGGAGGAGAAGCAAGGAGTCTCCAAGAGACACGTGAGGATTAGCAGGTCTTTGCACCAGGATGAACACAGCTGGAGCCAAATAAGGCCCTTACTGGTCACTTTTGGCCATGATGGGAAAGGGCGCCCTCTCCATAGAAGAGAAAAGCGTCAAGCAAAACACAAACAGCGGAAGCGCCTCAAGTCCAGCTGTAAGAGACACCCTTTGTACGTGGACTTTAGTGACGTGGGGTGGAATGACTGGATTGTGGCCCCTCCAGGGTATCATGCCTTTTACTGCCACGGGGAATGCCCTTTTCCCCTGGCCGATCACCTGAACTCCACCAATCACGCCATCGTGCAGACGTTGGTCAACTCTGTGAACTCCAAGATCCCTAAGGCGTGCTGTGTCCCAACAGAACTCAGTGCTATCTCCATGCTGTACCTTGACGAAAATGAAAAGGTTGTATTAAAGAACTATCAGGACATGGTTGTGGAGGGTTGTGGGTGTCGTTAGCACAGCAAAATTAATTAATTAATTAAATATATATATATACACACACACACACATATATATATATATATATATATATTAGAAAAAAAAGCAAAAAAAAAAAAGCCCAAAAGCCCCCCAAAACAAAACCAGCTGACACTTTAATATTTCCCAATGAAGACTTTATTTATGGAATGGAATGAAAAAAAAAAAAACACAGCTATTTTGAAAATATATTTATATCTACGAAAAGAAGTTGGGAAAACAAATATTTTAATCAGAGAATTATTCCTTAAAGATTTAAAATGTATTTAGTTGTACATTTTATATGGGTTCAACCCCAGCACATGAAGTATAATGGTCAGATTTATTTTGTATTTATTTACTATTATAACCACTTTTTAGGAAAAATAGTTAATTTGTATTTATATGTAATCAAAAGAAGTATCGGGTTTGTACATAATTTTCCAAAAATTGTAGTTGTTTTTGGTTGTGTGTATTTAAGATGAAAAGTCTACATGGAAGGTTACTCTGGCAAAGTGCTTAGCACATTTGCTTTTTTTTTTTTTTTTTTTTTTTTTTGCAGCGCTACTGTTAAGTTCACAAGTTCAAGTCCAGAAAAAAAAAAAAGTGGATAATCCACTCTGCTGACTTTCAAGATTATTATATTATTCAATTCTCAGGAATGTTGCAGAGTGGTTGTCCAGTTCATGAGAACTTTCGTCCTTATTAGGTGGAATATTTGGATAAGAATCAGACATTGCTGATCTGATACAGAAACCATCCCCCCACCCCCTAATTTGCAGAAAAAGTAAAGCAGGACCAATAGAAGTAATTAGCAAAAGGATGAACATGCAGGAAAGTGAATGATGGTTCATTGTTCTTCTTTCCTGAAACAGTGATCCCTTCTAGGGGCTGATCTGGCCAAAGTATTAAATAAAACGTTAAGATTTCTTCATTATTGATATTGTGGTCATGTATATTTAAAATTGATGTCCTGTGGCCCTCATTAAGATCTGGAATTAGATTTGTATTTCCCCTCTACCTTGTCAGGGAGCTCTCTATGCCCCAAAGTACCTAATTTTCTAACTTTGCCCAACACACAGCAAAATTGTGCACATCATGTTTTCTGCCCACACCCTGTACTCTGACTGATCAGCTTGCTATTCTTACCAAGGTAATGTGTTTGAACACATTTCTCCAAGTGTTAAACCTATTTCAGATAATAAATATCAAACCTCTGGCATTTTGTTCTATAAAGTCCAACCTGTGAGAGAAAATGGCTCATCTGTACAGTATTCACGAAGATTACCTTGTGTTTGCACTTTTGTTCTGAAGTTACTTTATTTCAGAGGGGGGATGGGGAAAGGTAAGGAGTGGTTGGAAAGTTGCAGGCAGGTCATTGGATAAGTCATAGTTACACCCAAGGAATTGCCAATGATTTCATGTTTTACTTTTTATGTGAACTTCTGTGGGGCAGAAGGATTTAAGAAAAAACCAAAGCCTACAAAACAATCAAAACCTGGGGAACCCAAGGTAAAGTTTCAAAGATGATATCCTATGCAACAGGGGCAACCGTGCCAAAAAAATTAGAAAGGGAAAGTGTCTGAGATCAGCTTCTATAAGAACATCTGCCAATTGGCCTGAAGCCCAAACAGAATGAAGTCAAATTAGGCTGCTCAGAATGAACACTTACCAGGGGCAGAGCTTCTGTGCCCCAGCTTGGAATCAGACCCAAGGCAGGGCTCCCTTGCTGATTTTAAGACCAGGGAACCTAGGAATCCTTGCTATGTTACTGGCAATATTTTAAGTCAATTTTCAGGCTGTTATGTCCCCTCTAATCCTGCCACAATAAGTGAAAACTAGTTCTAATCTCCTTTACTTACTCCACTTTACAAATGGCTTTAAAACTAGTGTGTTTGTAGTACAACAGACTGTTAAAATTCTTCCCAAGAATTAATTTTGGATGACCACAAACATAGCTACCTTTTTAGGGACTATAAGGTTCTGTAGATGGTATGTTTAACTGAACGCTTCAACTATCTTTTATCATCTTTTTGCTTCTTTTTATCTGCATTGATTGCTCTTGCATAGGTGGGCAATCATTAGATTTGACTCCACCATGGAAAACAGGGTCCTCTTTGTCCTCCAGTTATTCTTTACCTTTCTTGCCATAAATATGAGAGACAGACTGCAGTCTTAACATCTTAAAAAACAATAACCTGGGTTTTTCCAACTCCAGATTCTCTAGATGAGAATGTGAGAGTACTGCACAAGAATCTCATCCTTTGGCAATTCCATCCATCCTTTGAATTTCTCTGCTTTGTTCTAATTTTCTGGGTTAAAATTGCTTTCAGTGGCAGCAGCTCAAATCTGTTCTCTTACAATATGTACGTACTTACTATCCGTATAAACTGTAATAGACACGTATAAATGTATGAAGGTATATGTAATGGACATCACACATGTTGATGATGGAATTTTCAGTTTTCCTTTAGTTTCAGAGATTTTATAATAATTGAGGGCTCTGACCCTCTTGGCAGCTCACTTGAGAAACCATATTCTTACACTCTTACATTTCCATATTCTTACATTTTACACTCTTCCAGACATTTCAGAGAAGGAGTCAGAACTAATACCATGCCACTGAATTTCTTGAATTTCAGTCACAATTCTGGAAGATCCCTTGAATCACTGTAGAACTGGCTTAAAGTAAAAAACTGTAGTAGTTTCTGAATTTTGAGGGATCGTCTTTCAAAATTGATTAAATCGTGTCATCTGTTTTTGTGCTTGTCTGGGCTGCTTGTGCCTCACTGGCGTGGTTTTAACCTATATGGCACGTCCAGGTTGCTGTGTTCATTTTTTTTTTTTTTTTTACTTCCAAAATGAGGAAGGGGGAGGGTGACTGGTTTAAAGATATATCTGTGCTTCTATTTTTTTTTTTTCATAATTTTTACTCCAATCACTAAATTGTCCCTCAAGAAACAAAGAGTGGAGAGAAGTTCTGTAAATCTGGTCTATGTAGCAAGCTATGTAATTATTAGATATCCTGAGTGGCTCATGTTTTTCCCCTCCATTGTTTATTGAAGGGGGAAAAAATCATCTGTCCAATCAAAAGTGAATCAAAGCACTTTGGAAAGCATATTTCTGTTGCACTCTGATATTAACGTTAAGATGTTGATTCATGGAATGTTTATATGCCACAGTTCCCTTATCTATTATAAAGCAAAAGAAACACAGCCTTGCAGCAAAGAATAATTAAAGTCTAGAGTAATTGAAACACGGATAGGCAATCCAAGGAAGTAAGAATGTTCTGGCACTATGCCCTTCCTGTTTTATTTTTTTYGGGGATGGGTAGGGTGAGATGGGGATAACTTGCCAGTCTACTCCACTCAGGTAAATTGCTTTTCCTCTTTCCTCAACCCTGCTGACATAAATTACAGCCTTATGGTATTCTCCAGGGCAGAATTTTCTGATTCTTTTCCTGCCCTACAAACTTCAAAGTGAACGTCTTCCTAACTTGGGAGGGGGGTGGCAATGTTCTAAATAAAACTTCTTAGATTTTAATGTGCACTCAAATCAYTAGTAATGCCTCCAGGAGAATGAAACTTCAATGCATATACAGACTCCCTGGAATCATGTTATATTATGGATTCTGTTTCAGAGGGTCTGGGGTAAATCCTCAGGAGCTCACAGGTGAAGCCCTTACTGCAGATTGAAGGACCAAAATTTGAGTAGCAAGACTCTGATGAATGTCTTCTCAGTCTTACATGCAATAGTTGAACCAAGTTTAGGCCCTTCCCTAAGAAGCAGAGCTTAAAGGAAAAGAAACAGAAAAACAAACCTGTATACAGAACTGCATCTGAATACATTTCACCATATCTGAAATGATGGCCTACATATTTTTTTTCAAAGGCATTCTTTTCCCCCACAAGATGACTGGCAATTTTGTGTTCTAGCCACCCTCAGACATGAAAACACTTGGTTGCTTATCTTGTAAAATCTGCTCCGCTTGCTTGCTTGGGCATGTATGCAGTCAGTTTAGTCAAATACGTGTCAGTACATCTATGTGGATGGGGGAGCAGGTGCAAGCCCTTAAAAACGTACTTTAAAAAAAAGTTTAACACTTAAGTCAGTCCACGGAGTTGATCCTAGTGTGTGATCTTAGTGCCAAGCCTCTGAGTTAAATGTCTTCCCTTTGAAGGCAGCAAATAGATGTCATGCATTTGAAGCATTTGTTTATACTAAAAATGATACTTGACTTTTTTTGGTTGTTGTTATAACACAGTTTACTGTACAACTCCATGGAGCCTAGAGGGTGGTATAAAGCTACCAAAGTTGGTACTTGAGGTTTGATTTAATGGATATTGGAATTTCCTATGCCACAGTTGGCTTTGAATAAGGTGCTTAAGTGAATGGGTTCAGGCTTGGAAAAGCAAAAGGAATTGATTCCCTCTGAAATGGGGGTCAGCAGAGAAATAAATTCCTGTCTTTGCTCAGTGTTTTCACCTATTTTCTAGYAAAATTTGCTATGAAGGCCATTTGTGTAGCGGCGTCCATTGACTTTGTAGGATTCTCTCTGAACATTTCCTAAAATCAACTTGGACTTAGATATTTGTTGAAAAAATTTTTGGAATAATCTCAAGTACACTCTTCATTGTGTGTGCACAACGTGCATACACATACATGCACTTTTACACACACAGACATCAATCATGTCCAAGGGAACAAATGATTTGCTTCTGTCTGGAGTCTAAATGCCTACATATTTTAGATGTAGGGCATCTGAATTTTTTTTCTCCCACTGGGTTCATCAGTTTCTTTAGGTCTCTAAATTTTGATTGAGTCCTTGTGAGGCGCTTAAGCAGTGCTATACCAGACACTGACTTTAACACCACTTAAAAGTTTGTGCYGCCCTGTGCCCTGGGCCCCACTCCAAGGCATTGCCAGGAGTGCATTATTGTTGCAGTCCATTCAGATGAGGAGGTCTCTGAGCAAACCACCGATTTGCTTAAAGCTTCCCTCATAAGGAGCAGGATCTCATCTGGACTGCATTTACCC